AGCACGAGTAGGGGAGGGGCAGAGAGAGAGGGACACACAGAATCCAAAGCAGGCTCCAGGCTCTGAGCTGTCAGCATAGACAGCATAGACTGTCATGGGGTTCGAACTCACTAACTGCAAGATCATGACTTGAGCCGAAGTCAGACGCTTAACTGACTCAGCCACCCAGGCACCCCCCAAAATGAGAATGTTAATACTACCGTCTAACTTAAGTGATTGTAATGAGGATTAAATGAGATAATACAAATAAATTCCTGGTGTATCCTAAGAGCTCCTTAAAGGTTTGTCATTAGGTCCGAAAAGGTAAGCCTTGCCCGTTGTGTCTTCTCTGGTTAGGGTGTCAGACACTTTTCCTTTGTCATTCGGACCATCTGAAAGATTACCCTAAGGTCTCATACATGACTTTTGATTCCTTGGTTGGTGTATGTTGGCTGAGACTTCACTTATTTTGGGAGATTTCTCAGTGTTAAAAAACATGTGATGGTTTTTTCCCCTGCATCTTCTAAAAGGCTGCAGCAGGTTTCTTCAATTCTGGAGGAGGGCTAATGGGACAAGTAATGGGCATGCTCTCTTTCCCCGGAATGCCCAGGAGGCAAGGCTAGCTGGGCTCAAAGTGGACCTAAGAGTCCCCTAGAAGTTCACAACGATGAAAAACAGCAGAAGGATATGGATGTCCATAATGCATTAACCCTTATTCCACTACCGGCACCTCAGAGAAAAAACCATGTGTCACCATTGAACAGTCCTCTTCTCAGATTTCCTTTTGAATTAATACCTTATGTAGTTCAGGTCTGAATTGCCAAGTACACTGACTCATTTCTTCATTATGCAAGCCATTTACAGGTCACTGCTCAGATGTTGGAATACCTGTTTTAGGCTAACGGCAAGGTGCTTAAATGACTCTCAGCTGTGCCCTTACACTTGCATTCACCTGGGCTCCCCAGAGAACTACCATACTGGGCTCCTCCCCATTAGCTGTGAGTCCGGCACAGAGGCCTCATTAGCATCAAAAAGCTCCTCCTCTCTGCCTTCAGGGCAGCGACCTACTCAGGGGAATGGCAAGGAAACTATGCAAGAAGCAGATTGCAGTTACTGGGAAGTGAAACTTTTTGAAGAAAATGCAGATCAACTAGATCTGGATGTCGGGAAGGATGAAGAGACCCAGTGTGGGAAAGGGTCATCCGAGTGAGTTTGAAAGCAGAATCTGGGCACCAAGCTGAGTTTAAAGCAAACACCGTAGAGAATGACCTTGGGGATCCTGGGAAATTGGGGAAGAGCAGCATGATGTACACAATGAGGCCAAAAAGAAAGTAAGTGCTTAAGGAACAGTAATTTCAAAGACTGTCAGCTCTAAAGAGACATTCTAAATGCGATTTCTTTGAAAACCATTCCAAAGCTCAAATATTTATATTGATACTATTTAGTTACGATCATGAAATGCTTTGATCTGGCTGATACCATATATGTGTTCCCATTTTGTAATTATCTAGGGAAAATACTCTTCCAAAGTTCATAGACAAAGCTGGTTACTGTGATTGGCTGAAGTTGTTGTGCATAACAAAGCATTGGTTTAATTAAGTTCTTAATCCTTCCTACTCTCCAAAGAGGTCATACCATTCAGTGTGGTAAATGTAGACATGGGAATTCAATTGTTTCTGAAGATTACCTGCTCTCTGCAGGGTGAAGGTTCTCAAAGGAGTTCCTGGCCTTCAAAAACAAAGATATTATTATTCCCCAGTCACTGGTATGGATTAGTGCTATCCTGGGATTGATGATCCCATCTTCAAAGGACTCTGATTGCCCTTCATGGCCAATCAGAGGGTCATCAGAACCTGCTACATTTTAAATGTCTGTGTTAGGAGATATCCAAAGACATCAGACTTTTGCTTATTTTCTTACTTAATGTAGATATGCTCTTTCTTCTCTTTGATAATTCAACTCTGGTGTGCTGTTGAGTATAGCTGGGTGAAATCTTTCCTGACCACTTGGGTTCCTCAGTAACTCAGATACTGTGTCCACCATACATTCATGAACTTGACATTTACTGACATATTTTGTTCTTGCCAGTCATTACAATAATGTTCAAATAATTTAAGGGGGAGGCAATAAGACAGGTATATAAACTGCTAAAATACAAAATAGAAAAAGGTACAGGAGCTTAGGTAAGGGAGATGTTATTTCTGGTTAGGACATCAGAACAGTCTCATGGAATAGGCTGTATTTAAGGTGGAACTTGAAAAAGATGGGTTTTGAAATGTGAGCTGCTTCTTGCACAGACACACAGACATGTACCTTTTTTTTTATTGAAGTACAGTTGACATGCAATGTTATATTGGTTTCAGGTGTATGACACAGTGGTTCAAAAATTCTATATGTTATTCATTGCTCAACGTGATAAGTATAGTCACCTTCTGTCACTATTCAACCTTATTACAGTATTATTGACTATATTACCTATGTTGTACTTTTGATCCCCGTGACTTATTTATCTTGTAACTGGAAGTTTGTACCTCTTAAGCCTCCTTACCTCTTTTGCCCATTCTCCTAACCTCTTTCCATCTGGGAACCACCAATTTGTTCTTTGTATTTATGGGTCTGTTTCTGTTTTCTGTTTATTTTTTTAGATTTCATATATAAGCAAAATCATATAGTATTTGTCTTTCTCTCTCTGACTTAATGTAGAATAATATGCGCTATGTCCATCCACATTGTCACATAATGCAAGATTTCATTCTTTACTATGGTTAATATTCCATTGTATGTATATAACACATCTTCTTTATGCATTCATCTATCAGTGGCCCCTTAGGTTGCTTCTATACCTCAGCTGCTGTAAACAATGCTGCAGTAAACACAGGGGTGCATATATCTTTTCAAATTAGTGTGTTTCTTCTCTTTGGGTAAATACTCAGAAGTGGAATTTCTGGATCATATGGTAGTTCTATTTTTATTTTTTTTGGCGGGGGGGGGAGGTCCACACTGTTCTCTATAGTACCAGTTTACATCTCACCAATAGTGCACAGGAGGGTTCCTTTTCTCCATATCCTCACTAACACTTATTTCTTTTTGATACAAGCCATTCTTACTGGTGTGGGATTGTGTCTTATTGTGGTTTCAACTTGCATTGCCCTGATGATTAGTGATGTTGAGCATCTTCTCAAGACATACAGTTGGCCATTTGTATGTCTTATTTGGAAAAATGTCCATTCAGGTCCTTTGCCTATTTTTTAATTGGATTATTGGTTTTTGTGTTGAGTTGTATGAGGTCTTTATATCTTTGGAATATCAACCCTTTATTGGATTTATCATTTGAAAATATCTTCTACCATTCAGTAGGTTGTCTTTTTGTTTTGTTGATGGTTTCCTTCACTTTTTAGTTTGATGTAGTCCCAATGGTTTATTTTCATTTTTGTCTCCCTGAGAAGATATATCCCAAAAAATGTTGCTAAGGTTGATGTCCAAGAGATATGTACGTCTTCATTAGCTTTGAGTGTAGTTTCTGTGGAGACAGAATAGGAGTTCTCTTCTCCTGTTGTCCCTCCTGACATGTGGTTCAGTGCTTGACACAGACTAGCTGCGGAACCCATATTTGTCACCAGAGACAATGAGATAAGCATCCCTTCTAGAAGGAGAATTGAGGTGATGTAATTGAAACAGTCTACCACATCATAGAACAAAAGCATATGTTTGCCCAGTAGCCCTGGAATGTTTTTCAAGAGGGCATGTTTCCTTTTACCTCTTTGTGGGCTTCTTTAGACCCAAATACTTTGATGCTGTATTAAAAAAGTAAAGGAGGGGCGCCTGGGTGGCTCAGTCGGGTGAGCGTCCGACTTTGGCTCTGGTCATGATCTCACGGTCTGTGAGTACAAGCCCCGAGTCGGGCTCTGTGATGACAGCTCAGAGCCTGGAGCCTGCTTCGGATTCTGTGTCTCCCTCGCTCTCTGCCCCTCCCCCGCTCATGCTCTATCTCTCTCTCTCTCTCTCCCTCTGTCAAAAATAAATAAACATTCAAAAAAAAAGTAAAGGAGTGAATGAAGTTCTCAAGGGTAGAGTCTGTTTGCTTTTACAAAATCATGTTTGGAGATGGATCTGTGGCTACTTCATCCTTAAATAAAGAGAAACCATCCCAGAAACCCAACTGAAGTTGGTTATTTTAAGGCCTTACTGTCTTTTTGCCTGATTCTGTTGTCTTTGACACACCTGCTATATATCTAATTAAGAAAGGTTATGCCTGATTCATAAATAGCCACCAGATTAGTATAGTGAGCTCTGGAGAGATCCGGGAGTCGGGGACACCAGGTCTTATGTTTCCACCAACAGCTGAAACCCAACTGAGCAGAACCCAACATTACAAAAACAATTGTAAAAATCAAAAGCTTAACACTGGGAAGAGTTGAAACAAGATTTGCGAGTTTCTAAGGAAGAAAAACATTGCCGCATCTTCCTACCCTGCACGCCTACTGGCAGTGACTGTTCAGTCTCTCCAGATACCTTCTGCAACTGCGGAGGCACAATTTTTCTGAGAGCTTCTCTTCCCTAGTCCCATCTTCTCTTGCCACAGGTTATCAAAAGGCCATAGAGCTTGTCTTGGGGGCAGGGCATGGAATCTGAAAATTCTTGCTTTCTTGCAGGTCTCCCCCTACCCTCGCTTTGCTAGACAATTGCAGGAGCCTCAGAGGAATACACAGGCAGCCATTGGAGGAGTTTCTCTGCAGTTATCTGCCATTGACCTTAGCCTAATTTGTCATGTTTTGGTCGATAATTCCAAAGATGAAGGATGAGGTACCTATTAGATTTGATGTGCCACATTCTTCCTCTGAAGCTAGGTTTGTTTCACCAGCTAATGACTTTATTCAATTATATTAAAAACCCAAGGTTTATTTTATAAGCGTGACAACGAGTCATTATATGAGTAGTATTCCACAGGCCCTAAGCAAAACACATAAAATGTCATTTCAAGTGCCAAGTTTCTTTTCTAATTCCATTTTTTTTTCTTACAGATTTTTGAAAGCGGCTTAAATCTAATTGGCTCCCCCAGGATCTCAGCTCCTGTTACATTGGTGCATTCCTTTTTTTGAGAGGCATCTGGAGAGACTGCTCTGGAGAGACGGCCACTGCTCGTTGGCATACAGGGTAGGAGGATGCGGCAACTTTTTTTTTTTTCTCTGTCCTTGGAAACTTTCAAATCTTTGTTCAGTTCTTCTTGAGTGTGAATGTTTGGTTTTTGCGATGGTTTTTGTAATGCTGGGTTCTGTTTTCCTGTTGTTGAATTTCATATGAGTGAGGTGGCAGCCACAACTTCTGCCACCCCATGGTGGCCAGCCTATGTCTTCTGTGAAGGACACCTCAAGAGAAAAGAAAAACAAAACGCATAATAGTAGGAGGGTATGGATTTGTATAAATAATACTTACCAAACAGTGCTAATAAATCAGCCTTATGTGCGTCTGTTCTACTCAAGGTAAACACCTATTTACACAGCAGAGCTGAGTTGCTTTTAGAGGCCCACAGTCAGATGTCCCTGTAGTCGATGCAGCTGTTAAAAGAATGCCTGAGTCTTTCCCTTAATCACGGTGACGTCCTATGTTTGAAACCCCACGCAGTGAAGCAAATGAAAGAGGAGATTCTACCCATCAGATAGTAGGGAAAGAGAAGGGAGAAAAGGGTAACTAGGGTTTTTTTTTTCTTGTTTCAAAGGGTTTCTCTTAGCCAGATACTTAAAGATTTGAGATAAAAAAAAAAACAACAGGAAAATATATGTGGTATCTGTTTTTAAGTATGTTATTAAAGTATGTATGTATGTAAAGTATGTATGGAAAGACTCTGGTTTTAGAGCTTCAGTCTTCCATTGGAGAGGGGAAAGCTGGGATTAAAGAAATTGAACATGTAAGAGACTATTGGCCTGATTTGGGCAAACCCATATTGAAGACATTCAGAAGCCAGAAATAAAAAGCGTGTTAAAGGCTGTGGTTAGGCTGCCTTTTGTTGCTGGATTAGAAATAGTAAATGGAGAAATAGCAAGAAATGTGTTCCTCTTTTGGAAGACAAGTGATTTAAAATTTTTGTACTAGCAGAGTCTTATCTTGTAATATTTGATATCTCCTTCTCCTAAACATAGGCCAGGAGAGTGACCAGAATGGGCTCAAAGTTTGTTTTGATTAAGTGCCTCTTGGTTGTGTGCATGTGTGTGTGTGTGTGTGTGTGTGTGTGTGTGTGTGTGTGTGTTTATGTGTATGGCCCAAGTGGGAATATCTGTTTAATTGAAATCTGATTGTCCTGTTATTGGTTAGGCAGGACCTGCCCAAGCATAGAAAAACCTAATTTCAGGCTTAGCAGGCAATGAAGTTAATAATAAAACATGTCTATTGAATTAAAAACAGTACCATTCTTGTTAATTCATTTAAAAATATTACTCAAGATTTTCCTCCCAAGATAAACATTTATGTATCTGCCAAATGGGACAAGAGCCAGCCAGTCTCCTTTTTGGTAAATGTACTCCTTTTGTTGTCCTAAGGGAGACAGCCCAGGCCTAGGGCACAAGGAGCCCAGTTTTAATTTTGTGCCCCTCTGGAGTTGTACCACCAGGGACAATGACTTTGTCATATTGGCCCTAAGCTTTTCTTATGTATAAAATAAGAGGGTTGGATGAGGTGACTTCTAAAGTCCTTAATACATATAATGTTCTGTGAAACAGAGTAAACGGTGGAAAGAAACACATGGAAATGGTAAGGAAAAGCTAAGTGAGGTAGCTCAATGCCTGAGGAAGGATTTTCTGAGCAGAGAAGGGAGAGAGTCCAGGCAAGGCTGAGCAAATGACTTCCTCCTCCTCCTCTTCCTCCTCCTCTTCTTCCTCCTCCTCCTCCTCCTCCTCCTCCTCCTCCTCCTCCTCCTCCTCCTCCTTCTTCTTCTTCTTCTTCTTCTTCTTCTTCTTCTTCTTCTTCTTCTTCTTTTCTCTCTCTCTCTCTCTCTCTCTCTCTCTCTCTCTCTCTCTCTCCAGTTCAACTCCTATCTGGAAGCTTTAAAGAACTCAGAAATGCTCCTCCATATGTACCCTTTCTTTTTCTCTCCTCTCCTCTATATCATGTTTCTTTATGTCTTTATCCACTCCCTCACTCACTGCCATCTTTCCATCTCTCTGAGGAGTAGATATAGTTAGCATTTGTCAGGAAGACAGGAGGACAATGATGGAACTTGTTGGAAAAGGTTTTTTTTCCCCATTTTTCCTCTTTTCGTTTCCTAGGATCTGTTATAGCTTTGATTTTATTAAATAAAAAATGAAAAATCTTAACAACTGGATTGTACATTCATAATGATGACAATTCTAACAATCACAGTGATGATACTGACCTTGAGTGCTCACTGTGTGCCAGGAACTGTTCTTAATGCCTTAGGCACAATGGCTTCTGTAATCCCCAGCACAACACTGTGAGGTCAGACCTGCTCTCACCAGCATTATGCTGATATAGACACTGCATCAGAAAGGTAAAGTCACTTGCCCAAGTTTCACAGCTAATTATGGAAAAGTTGGGATTCTGTCCTCAGCCATCCCTTTCCAGTGTTACCGCTCTTACGTGCTCAGCCTTGCCGCATCTCCTCTGAGGCAGAGATGATATATTCTATTCACTTTTTTGTATTCTCTTGAGAATTTGGCATGCTTAAGGAAGTATACCTTGAATTCATGTAGAATCGAATTAAAGGAACACCATCCACCTGGAAGAGAAAGTCGTCCAAGGCTTCCCCACCTCAGGCCTCTGGAGAAGCGGCGTTTGTGATGACCTCCCAACCATGTTCGTGGACAAATGTTTGACTTGTTATTTGAAACCATCTACTTCCTTTCTGTGTGAAACTCATGAACTCGTTTCGTTTAGAAATTTTGGTTTTAAGGGAGAAAGTTAGGCTGTAGCTTAAGGAGGTTGAATTGAATTTATGTGTAAACAGTGAAACTGTGGTATTATTTAAGCAAATGTAGCTGATAAGTTACTATATGAACGAAGTGGTGTTTGAAGAAATAGCTTGGAACAAGGAGTCAACGAACGCACTAGATGATAGTTATTAGAAGAAAATTTTCCATTAAGGTTTTATTTGCCTGGATGCAGTTGACTTCTTTTGAAAAAATACTTGGTTTTCCACTTATGAACATTTGACGCACACACAAAATCAATATGTTTACATTCCAAGGCCAATATTTCTACTCCTATATATGATGTTAATGGTGGGAGAAATGAGTAGGAGAGCTACTTCTTTCTATATTTGCTGCCGTGGTACAAGGATAGTGCTTTCGTACTAGGGCTCTGGATTACAGGGATTCACTATGTCCTCTAGTGCCTCACTCATCTGGTGGTCAGATTTCCAGCAATTCTATCGTATGGAACATATATATGTGCCTAGAAGGATAGGGTCATGGTGGGGGGGCTAATGTTGGAAATAACCTTAAGGTTATTTGCCTTATTTTGCAGATAAAAAAGTACAGCCCCAAATGAGTAAGGGCTCTAGCTGTGGAGTAGAACAAAGTCTCAAATAGAAAACAATAATTACATAGGTTGTGTAGTGTTAACTCTATTAATTCGCTGTATAACTATTTGTTGAGTACCTTGTAACGTGTAAGACATTAGAGATAGAAACATGAATTCTTGGACTAGGAAGTATATGGGTCTTCCTTATAGCTCTTACTAAACATGTGCTCATGAAGTCACAGATGAGAAATATCTGAGAATGATCCTCATGAACTCTGAAGATGACAAGGACTTTGTTTTGTAAATTCCACGGTGTCTCATGCCTTCCAGGATATGAAGCTGCTGACCACAGGAAGAAATGAAAGGAATGATCACAGTGTAGGAATCTGACAATATTAAGTATGAGCAAATGTACTGACTTAAAAAGCCTCTGAAAAATTATAACTTTTCATTCCAATGCTGTGTCTTAAGTTTGTGTTGATAACCCTGAGTCAAAAAAAAAAAAAAAAGGTTAAAGTTCTTTCAACCTGTTATTTTAGCAAAGTGATAAAGGGCACAATATATTTTGGAAAGCTTTCAAATATGGGGTATTGGTGTATAAAAGGGGGAGCTTCACTTCCCTGGGACATTTACTCAAAAGGCATTAAAATTTGTTGAACACCAGCCATGCACAACTTATCTCTAGATCACGAATGGGTAAATTTGATGTTCAGGGAAGGGAAAGTGGCCACCATTGTAAAGAAAGTTGATGTTTAGCCATTAGCTTTACAAGGGGGTTTTGTATATGGAAGCACTATTATGAAGGTTGGTGTGCAAGGGGTCACGCTAAATGTGGGCTAGAGGGAGGGGGGGAGAATAACAAAACTGCAGGCGGCCTTGGCAGTGTGCCAAATCTGTGTCTTCATTTAACTCTCTTGCCACTTCTGCATGGTGCCCAGGGTTCTCTCTGTCTTGCTCATGAGGAAGCTTAGAATCAAGAGAGGAGTTAATTTGCTCACAGTGTCACAGTTGGCAAATAGCAGGATTTGAATTTAGATGTACATGATTGCAAAGCCCCAGGCTTGGTCAGCTGGGTCTGACTCAAGTAGCATTTCACTCTTCACCCGACATGGACTGTAGCCTGAGGGACACATGCATTCTTTCCCTTGTGTGTCCTTCTACGCCTCCATTCAACAAATATTTAAAAACCAGCTTTATGCCGGACTCTTTCAGGAGGGGCAGATACAAATTAAGAGAAAAGTTGAACTACAGGGTAATATAAGACATGATAAAGGTACTTGACAAAAGCATGTGAGAGTGGTTGGTTTTTATTTTAGCCTATAGACTCAGTACGATTACTTTAAGATCATCCTGCTTAGACGTGGGGGATATTTTTGAAATTTTTAACATTGATGAGCCACAAACACAGAATTACATCATTTGTAGTTAGCAGATCCATTTTTTTTTTTTAAACTGCATGTTGGTGCTAAGTTGGTGATGTTGGCCCTGATGGAATAAACAAAGGCAGGCTTTCTTTTGCTGTACTTTCAGGGTGATAGCTTTCCCGTCCAATATCCTGTACCAATATTGTAGGCACAATACTTATTATAGCACATCCCAGATTTCCAAGTAAGTGGGGTATCACATGATGATGTTTTATGGTCTCACCAATTCTGAATCAGTGAAGTCTAGATTAATGAAAT